GAACGACGATGAGGAGACGATCGATGCATTTGATCCAGCCATAGCAGCAACGCTGGGCCTCCAGCGTGCTGCACCCACTCCCGGCTCCAATGTTTTGGCCGCTCCCAGCTCGCCGGCGCATAGCGAGACGGCGAGCGCGAATAGCCTACAGAACTTCATACCCGACGTGCAGCTGGCGGAGTCTGGGCAGGATCTGATATACAACGATGCATCCTCCACACCGCTGCACCATCAACTGCAGCACGCCCACAACCATGTGCTCCACCATCATCACATGCAACACCAKCAGCAGCAGCAGGCGGCGCACTTCGAGCCCAGCAGCGCCAAGCGCATCAAGACCGAGTGCGATGCGGCAGGCAGCGGCGTCGCCTACTTTGGCGGACTCAGCGCAACGGAGCACACGGACATGGAGTTCTTCCGCAGCATTCTGCCGGACATTGCGGCACTGACGCCGCAGCAGCGACGCAAATTAAAAATTGGCATACTAGAACTAATCGACGAGGTTGTGGAGCGCTATCCTTCGCAGGAGCGTTTGAACGGTGCTGTTCCTAATGGCAGCGGCAGCGGCAGCTCTGCTGCTGCCGGTGGTGCTGGTGGTGGTGGCGGCGGGRGTGGTGCTGGCTCAGCTGGCAACAGCACGGGGGGGCGATACCAGCGCCGCAATTCGGGTCGGGAATACAAGTTTAAGATATAAGCACTTTAATCTATATAATTATTAGATGTTTAGCTAGATAATCTTGAACTAATTGATGCTGAGAGCTGAGAAGCTGAAGATGGGAGGAGCTGGGAGATAATTGGCAAATGAAAGGAAATACCAAAAACAATTTATGATTGTAATTCAGTGCAAACAAGAGACAAGTGCAGATGCATTAGAAATTACTCAGATTGAGAGAGCCAAGAGTCTTATAAAATGCATTTCTTATACAAATGCGTATTGTGCAACAGGCATATCAATTCGAATTATTTTTAATTATTTTTTAATTTTACCCTTCAATTCAAATTTTGCAATATTTTTTATTATTCAACTTTTTGATTCATTCAATATATAATTTTTTTGAGTCGATGATTTCACTTAGCTATATGTTTTAAAATTATTGTAAATTGTTTTATACAGTGAGTGACATTGATATTCGGTTCTTTTATTTTTCAACTTTTTTCTGTTTATGTATAATTTTTATTAGCATGTCAAATATTGATATATACCTCATCGGCAAGGTTATTTTTTAAAAATCGATTTACACGTTTTTAATTTCAAATATTTTATTTGTTTTATAGGCGTTATTGTTTTTATAGGCGTTTTTAGTTGAAGTTAAAAATAAAAAATAAAAAGAATATCAATGTTACTCACTGTATGAATTTTTGCATAATTTAAATTTATTATTTGAAACTTTTTTTTTTTTTTTTTGTAAATTAGATTTTAAAAATAGATTATATATACTTTTTTATTTTCTCATTTATATGCCAAATTTAACAACCATTTGTAGTATAGGAATATTTGACGTAAATTTTGATTGAAATTCAATATTTTTAACATTTTTTTTTTTTTTTACTTTTTAAAAACGGATTACTTGTAGAACCTTTCTGAATCTATAAATTTCCATTTTTTTAAAGTATTTAAGCATCTCAATCTCGATTATTTTTTCTGGAATTGTTTTCATTTATAATTTGTTTTACAAAATGTTCTGACTTCAAATTAGAATGGTTTATCCTATTGTCTGTGAAATTGAACAACAGTCTATCCCTAGTCAGCATCGCAGCTCTTCAGCCCTTCGCTGTTCGGTGTCCAAGTGTCGTGTGCTCAATGTGCTAGTTGTAGATATTAATGAACTTCGTTGTGGCAGCTCTAGGCTGTGGCAGCGCTAATTGTTGTGTTTATCTAGGAAATATTGAATAGGATAAGCCGCTTTGTATATAGAAATGGATGTTTTGTTATAGTACGTATTTAGGTTAAGCTATATAGAATTGATGTACAAATTCGTTGCTGTTTAGGCTAAGGCGAGAGATTCCTCAACTCGTGTCAAAGAAATAAATCAATGTATGAAAATATTACATGATATAGTTGTTTTATTATAAAGCTTCAGAACATCAACATGGGGCGGCAGCTGGCAACTGCTGCATAAATTTCATTATGAGAAATGCATTCGAAATAACGCTATATAATTCATAATTCATAATTCACTTTAAAGCTAAATATCGTTTTTAGGGCTGTCGTCGCTTACAACTTCGCTGCGTTAGTCTTGGGATAGAATTTCTTGGATGGGTCCTTGGCCATGTCGATCAGTGTTTGGGCTGGCTTGAAGGGAGCACCGTAGAGCTCGGCGTAGGACTGCATTTTGCTGGCTAGCTTGCCGGCGCCGTACTGGTCCACCCAGCGGAAGGGGCCGCCTGTAAATGGTGGGAAGCCCAGTCCGAAGACAGCACCCACATCGCCTTCCAATGGGCTGTCGAGGATCTTCTCTTCCAGGCAGAGCACAGCTTCGTTGACGAAACGCGAGACCATGCGCAATGTCAAATCCTCGGGAGTATTGGCGCCCTTGGACACCAGCGAGTACTTCTGCTTCACAATCTCCAGGGCTTCAGTGTTCACTGGACGGCTGCCCTTGCTCTGGCCATCGTACAGGAAAATGCCTTTGCCGGATTTGCGGCCCAAGAATCCTGCCAAGACCAGATCCTGCATGACTTCCAAGTTGCCGCCACTGAAGCGCTCACCGAATGACTTGGCCAAATCCACGGCAATGTGGGAGCCCACATCAATGCCAACTTCATCGGCCAATGTGGCAGCGCCCACAGGGAAGCCGAACTTCTTAGTTAACTGATCCAATTCCTTGGCGTCCACGCCCTCTTGCAGCAGTCTAGGTATATAGAAGATTAACATTTTTGTTTGCTAAGTAGAGGAAGGATTCATGGACTCTCACCTTATGGCTTCGGACAACATGGTGGCCAAAATGCGCGTGGTATAGAAGCCGGGTCCATCTCCCACGGTGATCACAACCTTGCCCTGCTTGAGGCCGACGGCAACAGCCTGAGCAACGGTGTCCTTGGAGGTGCCTGAATGTGTAATGATCTCCAGCAGCTGCATCTTGTCCACGGGCGAGAAATAATGCATGCCGACCACTTTATCGGGTCGTGAGCTGCCCGCAGCTATCTTTGTTATGGGAATGGCGCTGGTGTTGGTGGCAATGACGCAGTGCTCCGGCACCACGGCCTCCAGCTCCTTGATCACACGATGCTTGATTTTGATGTCCTCAAACACAGCCTCGATCACAATGTCGGCAGTCTTGAAGTCGTTGTAGTTAAGTGTGGGCAGCAGATGCGCCAGCGTCTGGTCGCGTTCCAGAGCCGTGATGCGCTTGCGCTTAACAGCCGTTTCCAGGCCCTTCTGCACCTGCCCGATGCCGCGTGCCAGACCCGCATCGGTCGCGTCTTTCATCACCACATTGTAGCCCTTGTCCACGGAGACCTGCACGATACCGGCACCCATGAGACCAGCGCCCAGCACACCCAAAGTCTTGACGGCGCGCTGAGGCTTGCCGAAGCGATTCTTCTTGCACTCGGTCTGGCCGCGGAAGAGAGCGATCAGACCCTTCGATTCGGGTGTGGCCGAGAGTTCGCCAAAGCCCTTGCGCTCCGCCTCGTAGCCAGCATCGGTGCCCTTGTCGACGCCCGTGCGAATCACATCCAGAATCTACAGAGCAGAGCAAAGCATGAGAATCTATGCAAGGGGCGAGCAAATTTGCAATCAGCTTACTTTCAGGGGAGCAGGATAGAGTCCTCCAGAAGCCTTCAGTACCTGCTTGCGCGCGGTATCAAAGATTTTGTTCTTCACAAAGTCTGTGTCCATGACGAGCGCTTGCAGCTTGTTGACCAAGCCAGATTTCTCGCGATTGACCTGGGGGACAACCAGAATAAGCCTTTTATCTTGTATCTTATCTTATCTTAACAATCTTACGCGCAGTTTGCCGCTGGCCAAGTCGTTGGCCACTTGAATGGCCGTCTTTTCCAGGTAATCCATGGTGTTCTGTTCGGCGGGCTGCAGTCCGGGGCCAATGGGATCGACGAGCAAGTCAACAATGCCCAAGCGTTTGGCGCGATCAGCACGCACCTGTTTGCCGGTCAGCTCCAGATCCAGGGCAGTGGGCACGGATGTTAGCTTGGGCAGGCGCACAGTGCCGCCGCCGCCGGGCAGCAGACCCAACATGACCTCCGGCAGACCCAGTTTCGTCTTGTTATCCTTGGTTGCAATGCGATAGTGGCAGGCCAGCGCCAGCTCCAGTCCTCCGCCCAGGCAGACGCCGCTGATGGCGGCCACAACGGGCTTGCGACTGCGCTCTAGGCGCTCAAACATCAGCTGGGCGCCGTGCGAAATGAGAGTTGCCTCCTCGGCCGTCTGGCAGGCCTCGAGCATGCCGATATCGGCGCCGGCTATAAAGCAGCCCGGCTTGCCTGAGATGAGCACAGCCGAGTTGACCGAGGGATTCGTCTCCAGCTCTTTAATCACACGCTCAAACTCATCGCTCACCTCGCTGCCCAGGGAGTTGACCTTGGCATCGGGCGAGTCGAACCTAATAACGAGCACTCCATTCACGACCTTCGTGTGCAGATGCTTATTGGAGGCGGTAGCAGCGGGGGCGGCAGCCGGCGCGATCTTCGGGGCTGGATTTGTGGACATTAGGCGACGATGTAACTGCACTGACGCCGGGTACACTGGGAGTGAATAATTAATGTTAACACAGCTATCACAAAATCATGTTCATACACAGGTCCAGCATTTTTCACTATCTCTAACGGCAATAGTACAAAGTTCAAAGTCCAATTTTCAGATTGCCAATATCTCAGCTATCAAACAGGCTATAAATGCAGATCTTTATCTTTATTCTATTCTATATAAATATGTACCACATATTGTTTTCTATCTGCATTTATCGTTCGAAACGGAGCTATTATTACTTAAAGTTATCATTGTTAAAATACCTCTGGAGCATTTATGGTGCAGCAATTGTTGTCGGGTTATTTGACCAATTGCACACAGAATTCGGGACGACATGTTTACACTGATTTGTCTAGGCACAGTTCGTTGTAAATGTTACGAGTTATTATAAATAGTATTCGTATGCACTTTTAACTTGAAAATTAAATTAACTAAAAAAATTGTATAAAAAACTTCTGCCGACTTGTTGCACACTGCAAGCACCGACAACGTAAGCGAAACTATCGATGACGGAAATTGACCCGCCGCCACATTTCGTAGATAACACAAGATTGGTAAAAATGACAACTAGATGGCGCTTTATAAATGCAATTGGCTGCAGCAGTCTGGCAAATGTAATTAGAGAGCAGGAAAGTATGCAATCATGTACATATAGTAGTTTAAAAATTGTATTCGTATTTATCGAGATGCGGACAAAGTCCTTGGTTTTACAAGTTGACTAATGTCTTAAATGTTGCTAGTTTGATTTAGTGAAATAATTGTACTGAAAGGCTTCAGTATAGCTGTGTGTTTTAACTTAGCGGTAGATGGCGCCATTAAACTAAACAAATGTAACCGTCTTTCAAATTCCATTGCATATGAGTAAAACTGCAATTATAAATACTAAAATTTTGCAATTCAAGATAAAACAATTTTTACTATTCAATTTAATGCTTTAAAACTTAATATTTGATTATTTGGTAATTAATTTATAAAATCTAGTGCAAAATTAGCTTTATACTCGCCTTGATTCAGTTACATACTTCGAATACAACCGCTCACATCTGTGTACTTATTTTCTATATTTCCATATTATATTCCACATCCACACTATATTCATTGAACTTTAACTAATTGATATATGTTCGTCATGATCAGCCCGCTGATCTTGCAGGGTCGTTGAGGCCAGCATCATTTTGGTTGATTTTTGTGTGTCAAATACTCAAGTGTGACTTCTCGGCTGTGGCTTTTGACACATCCTGTCTATCAGAAAACACTCGGCCGATCCAGCTGCAGGAATGCAAAAAAACGATTAACTATTTAATTTATGATACGTGGCAAAAGCTGTGCGCATTCAACGTCAACTGTTGCGACAATAAAAACCCACAACAATGTGCCGAAATGTTCATCCAAAACTATTTAACGGGCCCACTTCAAAAGGACTCGCCACAACGAGAACAAACGCCTCGGCGCAAATGAGGCGCGCTTAATGCGCGGTTGAATGAGTCCTGGACGCATGCGCACAGCGCTGACCCAAGCGATGCGGCCGAGTGCCATGCGTGTCCCTCAAATTGTCAAATTGTCACGGGGTGGGTCAGCGTGGAAATCGCCGGGAAAACAAAGGAACAAAGTGGTAGCTGCCCAGAGCGAAAAAGAAGGTTTTCTTGCTAAAAAAAGAGATATTATTTCCTATTAGATTGTGATTCTTTACTTTATTTAACTTTAACTTTATTTAATACTATTTATATAAATTAAATGACATGTTTGTGCTATATTTTACACTATTTAGTATTTGTAAATAATTAATTCTGGTCCATCCTTAAACCTAAGTTTCTAGGCTATGAGCAGAGATTTTATTCCTCTTGACTTGACCCGCTGTGATTAGGGAATCAATATCACATATTCAAATACTAACTAAGAGATTCAAGAGACACAAATATATTAAATTCTGTATATAAAGCCAAAAGCAAGTTTAACTGATAACAAATTTTGAATTGCATTGCGAATTGCATGGGGTTTCGCAACTTTTATGAGGTGAACAAAATACTATGAATTGATAAAGGCCCCTAATCTGAATTGGATTTGCGAATTATAATTATTATTATTAATTTTATTTTATTTTTTTTAATTATTGCGAAATTTGACTTAGAGGGTAACAAAAAACAAATCGAATTATGCAAGTTCATTATTAATTCGTATTAAAATTTGATTCCAATAAATACAGTTTTTTTTTTTTTTAATGAATGATGAATATATATATGTATATATGTATATTTGACATAATTGATAATACGTGCGGTAATTATTATGTATTATTATGTATGTTTATTAAGATTTCCCGAAGTTTCAATCGAAATATATACAAAAAGAATATTTTGTTAAATTATTCAACGTAGTTTTTATTATTTTATTAT